TGACTACCTAGCAAATAACAGCGATTGTATACACGTTGACACCCAATCGTTTTAATGTAGTCTGTGGTTTATATGGAGCCTTATAATCGACTGCATGCGTACGTATATAGCTGCGTGCAGGCCGTGGATGTAATTTACTGTTTATATAGTAGGCGTAACACATGTACCATAACGATTATTAACTTACTGTTGCAACTGTGTTTATGTCACGTGTCATTTGTTTATGTATATGGTTCCTGCCCTTTCGGACACGACGCTGCTGATAGGATCAAATTTTTTTTTTTTTTTTACCATTGCATGATGGATTTCAGCCATGTCACACAAATGACTAGGTTCTCCCACAACAGAAATCTTTAAGCCATAGTTTAAAAGATAGTACCAAGATCAGTTTCAAACATCGGATCGGCAATCACGGTAACAGCTGGTGGTAAGTGTCGAATTATAGCCAATACTGCGTGATTGCGAATTTTATAAATACTGAAGATAGAGTAGCTATCCTTAAAGGTGACTATAAGGAGTGGCAAGAATCGTGCATGCAGGTGGTGGCAAAATTGATGGTGATTCTAGGCACAAATGAGGCAAAAAGTTTATAGCTATATATTCTAGTTAGAAAACATTTAGTTTCAGATAAAATATGCATCAGCGACGGCCCACCAGAATTTAGGGTCGTCATAGTTGAAGAAGGTCTTAGAAATGGATGGGGGAATGGTATGTTAATATGATAATTTCATAATGACCTTGTGGAGTGTGCAGAATGTCACTATAAGAAGAAATCTGATCAGCTGCAGCAAAACCGTAAACAGTCTTACTATGACCAGCGGAGAGGAAGAAGTATACAACTATTAGAAATATCAAAAACGCTTATTTGTATACATATCCTATTATATTATAACACATTATCTTATACTTGCATTGAATGTATATACATGCATCTATACAACCTGAAAAATTCATATGGCTATCATTATATATATCCGGCTTTACAACTTAAAAATTACATAGTCTGTATATATCTAACCTTTATAAAAGCCACTGTGTGTCACGTCACGATTGATTTCTTGAAATACGAGGAGTCATAAAAGCCAAAATGCATTTATCCAGATAGAATAGTTCGATTACTGTCTGCCCATTACGATTTCAATGGCGGGGGTTCAATGGGGTCGTGAAACCTTATATGTGTAGTGAGTGTTGGTATAATAAGCCTGATGTAAAGACGTAGTGTGGGATCACCTAGCTTAGAGCAAAGTGAATACAATTTATCATGAAAGTAAAAATCTTGATTCAATTTTAAATTTAAATCGTTTCTGAATTAAGCTACTTTCTGTTATATCATCAATGTTTTTAATAAAACAAACCTCTTTAATCAACAGAGATTTTAAATTAAAAAGTCAACAAATATTTTCCAGTTTTGTTGTCTATACATTTCATTGTATATATTCATTACATAGACTAACAACTATATTAGGTTATACTTTTGTTGCTAAGCGACATGACATAAAGCCATTGTTGGATCGTATTGTTATCAAAACGCACTGTCTTTTCTATTTATTATAAGTTGTTAATATAAGTGAATTTTACCAATGATTATTCTAAGAATACGCCACGAATTCATTTCATGAATGATCTTAATTTTGATTGGCTCACAAAG